ATAATTCTTTCTCCTGTCCCAACAGACTCAGATTCAACAAATATTATTGAACAATAGCTAATATTTATTGAGAAATGCTATGTTCTCAGTGCTGTTCTAAGAAACTTCCATTCATATATTAATTAATTTAATCCTCACAACAACTCTATGAAGTAGACATTAGAATTATTCTCATTTTACAGCTGAGAAAACAGAGGCCCAAGGAGTTTAAATATTTTCACAAGATCCCTTAGTTGAACACAGCAATGTGACTGTGAATCCCATGTAATTAATTTGCTGGACCTCAATATGACACAGAATACTGTGGATTGAGTGGGGTGTCAAATCTTGTCACAAACTTAAAATGCCTATGATGTATGTTATTTTCATAATGGATATCATTATATGGAAAACAACCATATACAACAAAATCCCAAATTTTTTTTAAAAAATCCAATACAAACATGGAACTCAAACCCAGAAACCCTAACTCTCAACTCAGTGCTCCTTGTATGACATCATGGAGTTAATGAGTGTCAACTATATGGCATCAGGAGACAAAGAAGGAACTGTCTAGCATTGTTGAGCCCCTGTCATGCTCCAGGATCTGTACATATATTAATGACATTTACTCCTCTCAACAATCCTGTCAGGCATATGAATCCTATTATGTAGATTAGGAATGTAAGGCCCAAAGGGTTAAATAAATTGCCCAAAATTACATATCTGAGTTAGAATATCAGCCCGTGTCTTTCTTTTGAGCAGGAGTATGACATGATAGAAAGGGGAGACTGACAAGGAACAGGAAGGCAAGAGAGGGAAATATGAGTTCAGGGGTATCTTGACATTCTCTCTTTCATGAAACTTCCTGATAAAACCCTATGGCCTGAGCTTTCCAAACCTTCCCCTTCCCTGTCCTCTGCCCCAGTCTTTTTTTCCCTCTTGTATCTCTTTTGGTCTCTTGGGCTTCTGCCTCAGAGCCATCCCAAAGCATCAGAAGGAGGAGGGGAAAATGGGGACTGAAGAAGTGAGGTGCGGGATAAAGGAATCTTTCCTAGCTTGGCAGTGTTCTCTATCTATGGGAGGAAGAGAAAGTGGAATCTCTTTATCATCTTTCTTTGTCCTGATGCTTCAACCTTCTTTTCCAAACATCTTTTAAGTCCTCTCCTAACCAACCCAGCTATCTCAGGAGGACCTTGATGAGTCAGTGACATCTGAATAAAGTGAGTGGATCTGCTGATTCTTCTTCAAGTGGTCAATTATCCCAGGTTTTCTTTACTTATGTCTAATATATCCATCTTCTTATTCCTCTCTATAGCTAATAAAATCCCAAATCCCTCAATATTTTCCACATATGGTTAATTCTGTTGATACTTAGACTAATATCACTTTCTTTATCTTTTCCTCTCATAGCTGGTCCTTTATTTATTCATAATCTACCTGCTCTCCCTACAGTATTTCTGAACATCCATGTCCAGTCTATCCTTTCCATATTCTAGTTATCTTCACCTTGTCTCCCATTGGATTTATTTCCTGAATAGCAAGTTCATTCTACCCAAATATTATACCTCTTATTCACATAAGTCCAATCTTCCTGCATTTAATCTAACTTCCTCGTGTTTTATCTAGTCCCTGCAGATCTAAAATCAATGTATGTTTTACTTGCATATAATTCCAGCTGTGTCATATTCTCAGTTAACCACTTAAATTCTCTATTCCTGACCATTTATACCCAGATCCCTTTTACATTCTTCCATCTTTATATTCCATTCCTCCTATCTGGAATTCATCTCTTCTGCCCGCATCACAGCTTTGTGCATTTTTCCATGCATTCAAGCATCCATACAGCCACCTTTAATAATCAGTAACTAAAGCAGATCTTATAATAGGAACCACTGTCAGAAGGCAAGACAGACACACTAGCGAATAATCTAGTGCATAGGAATTGGGGTACTTTGGGAGGGGTGATAACTAAGGGACTAAAACATAAAAAATAAAAATTCCTGGAGTGAGTGTTTTTGGCAGAGAGATGTGTAAAGTTACGGAGTTAGATAATACCATGACATGTGTAGAAAATGGTAAATAGTGGACAATGACTGAACTGTTGTATAACAGTTAAAAGGACATACATTTGATGCTTTATGGGAGGATTTTGTATGTGCTCTCAAAAACCGGATGCCATTGTGGTCAGCCGTTTCTACAGAGAAATATGACTCTAATAATAAGTGGAAGTTATATAGATGAGAATACAGACTGGAGGAAAAAAGACCAAGTAAGATCCTATTTAAGTAGTTAAATCAAGAAATACCAAGGACCTGCTGTGAGGAACTAGGAGGAAGCCAGTAGAAATAGGGCAGAAGAAAAGGGACTGATATGAGAGATCATTAAAGAGGCATTTTAGCTAGAAATTGGATTAGTTAAGTGTGGGATGTGTGTGGGGGGAGAGGAGGATGGGTACGGAATATCTAGGAAATTTCCAAATGGCTTGCTTAGGAGACTGTATGAAAGCTAATGCCATTTATTGTAATAGAGGAATAACTTGCTTGGGGAAGGTTATTCTAGACATAGTATATTTGTGGTACCCATGACACCCATGGAATTATATCCACTATCCACTCCATACTCCACCATTAAGGACATGTGGGGCCACTTCAGCTACGAGGTCCTTCTTACATCTACCTGAGCAACAACAGCAGTGATACAGCAAGCAAAATGATATATAGGCTTTCATGGACTCTAATGGGAGCTCTAACCAGAGGAATCTCACCAAACCTGTGAAGGGAAAAGGAAGAAACCAGGGTAACTAATGTCTCTATGGGGAGATACCCCATGAGCCAAGACTTGAAGGTTAAATAGGAGTTAGCCATACTCAGGGAGATTGCCGCATGAGGAAAGCTATGAGGTGATACACGTGGTGTGTGATGAGAGCTGCAGGGTATAAAGTACACTGTAGACTGTGGTAAGAAATAAGGTTTAGGTGAAAGCAGTGGCAAAATCAAGAAGTGCCTATAGGCCTTGTACCTGTAGGCTAAATAATTTGAAACTTTATTGTGTACACAAAGGGGCACTATGGATGAGTTTTAAGGAGGGGACTAAAATGGTCAGTTTTGAGCTAAGGTCTCACCTTTAAGGGTAAAACTATAAGCAGAAAGATCAGTTAGGGGTCCATGTGTGAAAAGCTATTTTTTTCAAGTGTGCAGAACATCAAACATGAAGGTTGAAGTGGCTAGAAAATATGAATGAAAATCTGAGGCCAAGAGAATCAAAAACACAAAGAAGGGTATATGAGGCAGGTATTGAGAAAGGATCAAGGCTAAGGTCATAAATGGCAAGTGTAGGTTTAATGTTCCCACTTTTCTATGTATCCACATGTATGGTATAGGGATAGACATGTGGCTTAAACTTTCATGGATGAAAAGATAAGATATGCCCCTACAACTAGATTGTAAGATCCTGAAGACTCAGCATGTGTCCATGAACCTTTATATACCACAACTCTTAGCCCATGGTCTAGAGCATTGTTGATCAACCATAAATTTTGAAATAAGTAAAATTGTGGGTGTGGATGGTAAGAATGGGAGTGATGGGAAATGAAAGCCAGGGACGTAGGTGTTTTGTAATTGCATTACCATATTAAGAGAAACTTCAAGGACTCCAGTACTGAGTAATGGTCAAGTAATGATAGCAGAGCATGAAGGGAAGAGAAACATGGTATAAAATCATTAGTAGGTTGGTTTGATTTGAGAGCACATTCTAACCCTGCTAACTTCAGAGGAACAGATCTAAGATTAAAAATTAAGAAATCTGAGAAGATTACATCCAGATGCTCAGCTGACTCTACACCATTCTCCTTTCGAAACTCTACACTCTCTCCCAATGCTGAAACTGTACAGGGGCACAAGGTAAAAATAACCCTTCCTTCATATCAACTCCCATGTAAAAATGCCAACTTCTTTTCGTCATGAGACACAAAAATGGCTTGAAGTTTTTAAAGAGAAAGGGAAATTTTATCTTTGATACAAAGTTATACAAAGAGAGTATCCTAGTAAATGCATGTTTTTATGTGGGCCTTAATGTTAAACAAAGGTACTCTATTCTTATTTCAAGATACTCAGTACAACGTTCAGAACTGACGGAATTCTTAGTCTTTCTGCCATCCATCATCCATTTCCTAATCTGATTTCCAGGTGAATCCCAAGTCTTCCTTGTAAGTACTGGGTTCTATAGACTTCCACTCTACAGGTGCTGTGAACTTCTTGTGTTCTGCTTTTGTTTTTCTTTCCATCTGGCAGGAAGGAACTGTTTCTCTAAATGAGTCCCAAAGATCCTCTCTCCCAGCTGTAAATCCAAGATGTATTGTACAGTCCCTCCTTTACGTCATCTAAATATTTTGGAAGCTCCAAGGTCCTGACTTCCTGGTTCCACTTCTTGCTATTTCTGCAACCCAGAATTAGTCACTTAATTCTATATTTTAGTTTCTTTAGGCATTAAGTTGTAGCTATTAGTAGTACTAGCTCACAGGATTGTTCTGAAGATCAAGTGAATTGATACTGCTAATGTTTAGAGCAGTGTCTGAACTAATAATAACTCAACTGCGTTATACGTGATTGTTATTCCTCCATTGTGTAACTTATTTCCTCAAAACAAAGTCATGATCCAACTCATAGACAAACTCTCATTTTAGGCCACCCAGACTCCCTTTCCACTTTTGGTTTTTATCTGTGTTCTTTGGGGACAAACTGGTGTCATTTTTACCTTATGCTTGTCAATGCATGCTTCTCCAAAGATCAGAACAGATTCCTATCTTGTCCCCAATACAAAACCATTTATTTCTACATGTTTGTCTTAGCTCATTTCCAGATTTAAAAAGAGAGCAGTGGCCTCAGTTCTGCGATTAATTACATGAACTCCATACATAGCATTCTACCAGTATAAACCCACTAAGAGAGACTGGGTTCTTGTTGCGGCCTACTGAAGACTCTATTGTCATGTCCTGAAGAGCAGTAAGAAAGACCAATGACATGGAGTGGAGGAACCATAATGGGAGAGTGAGTGAGTTTGTGTTGCTGGGCTTCCCTGCTCCTGTGCCACTACAGGTACTATTGTTTGCCCTTTTGCTCCTGGCCTATGTGTTGGTGCTGACTGAGAACACACTCGTCATTATGGCAGTTAGGAACCATTCCACCCTCCACAAACTCACGTACTTCTTTCTAGCTAATATGTCCTTTCTGGAGATCTGGTACGTCACTGTCACTATTCCCGAGATGCTTGCTGGCTTTGTTAGGTCCAACAGGATCATGAACGGCTAATCTCCTTTGAGGGATGCATGACAGAGCTCTACTTTTTCCTTGGCTTGGGCTGCACTGAGTGTGTCCTTCTCGCTGTTATGGCCTATGATCGCTATGTGGCCATCTGCCATCCTCTCCACTACCCAGTCATTGTCAGTGGCCAGTTGTGTGTGCAGATGGCCGCTGGATCTTGGGCTGGAGGTTTTGGCATCTCCATGGTCAAAGTTTTTCTTATTTCTCACCTGTCTTACTGTGGCCCCAACATCATCAACCACTTTTTTTGCGATGTGTCTCCATTGCTCAACCTCTCATGCACTGACATGTCTACAGCAGAGCTTACAGATTTCATTCTGGCCATTTTTATTCTTCTAGGGCCACTCTCTGTCACTGGGGCCTCCTACATGGCCATTACTGGTGCTGTGATGCACATTCCTTCAGCTGCTGGACGCTCTAAGGCCTTTTCCACCTGTGTCTCTCATCTCACTGTTGTGATAATCTTCTATGCAGCTGGTATCTTCCTCTATGCCCGGCCAAAGGCACTCTCAGCTTTTGACATCAACAAGCTAGTCTCTGTACTCTATGCAGTCATCATACCACTGCTCAACCCCATCATTTACTGTTTGCACAATCAAGAGGTCAAGAGAGTCCTATGCTGTACTCTGCACCTGTACCAGTGCCAGGATCCTCACCCCAAGAAAGCTATCAGAAATGTGTAGATGGGATGTGCAAAGTCTAGTAAAATATTACTAAACTTGGCATCGATATATTCTATGAAGTCCAGTGGAGTTCTTAGGGTCTACATTAGGGGCCAGAATTTCAAAGACATCACCAAGGTACTAGGAATACTTGCTTGTAACTAGTCCAAGAGGAGAAAGAAGGATAGGTTGCAAACTAGAAACTGGATTTCTACAGGACAGCGCCATAAAATACAGGATAGAGCTGGGTCCACTATTGTCTGCCCCATTGTAATTTGCATAGGCATGGTTCCATTTAAGGAATCATGGGCTTCATTATGGAAAAGCAACATAAAACTTCTTGATAATACCTCTTCCAGTCACAGGTCACTTACTGTAGCCTATTAGGTAGCAGAGGCCCAGGAGGTGATCATTCTAGTGTGTGTTACAGACAAAGAGATGAGAAACTAGGAACTTTTGTGTTTGAAACATATCATCTGATGAACCATAGGGGTTTCTAGATTTATTTTCTAATTTACTGTGGCCAGTGTCCACATTGAACTAATGACTGAGAGCTGTTGTTTCTTCAATACTCTGTTTCCCTAATTAGACTATACGCACCATGGAAACAGGATCAGATTTTCTTTTACATCCTTTTATTACCATGAGCAGGAACAGTATCTAGGGTATGATGGCTATGAATACATATAATGAACGAATGTAGTTTGGAACCATGTAGGCAAGGCATGTGTGTCATGCCTATTTGTGGGGCTGGTAGGTGCGGGAACTAAACCCCTCATACTTTACTAGTGTGCAGAGAGATACAAATTGGCTCAGCCTTGCCAGAAAAATATTTTGAAAACATGTATTACAAATCCTAAAAGTGTTGCAACCATTCTAATTCGGAAAGATTTGTGCAGATAGACACTTTTACTTATAAATACAGAAAAAGAAAAATATACTTAACTTTCACAAACAGGGCACTAGTTAAACAAATTGTAGGTCATATGTTACTTGGAAAACTATGCAGAAATTGAAATAAAGTGATCTAAATAGAGATGATGAAAGAAAAAATGTTCCTAGCATATTTTTTTTTTTTTTTTGAGACGGACTCTCACTCTGTCACCCAGGCTGAGGTCCAGTGGCACAATCTTAGCTCACTGCAAGCTCTGCCTACTGGGTTCACATCATTCTCCTGCCTCAGCCTCCCGAGTAGCTGGGCCTACAGGCACCTGCCACTACACCCAGCTAATATTTTGTGTTTTTAGTAGAGATGGGGTTTCACCATGTTAGCCAGGATGGTGTCAATCTCCTGACCTCGTGATCCACCCACCTCGGCCCCCCAAAGTGCTGGGATTACAGGTGTGAGCCACCGCACCTGGCCTCCTAACATAATTTTTAAAAATATGTTATATAACAGTATCAAAAGCATTAGCCATATTTGCTTGTTTAAACAACACTAGAAGTAATTTGACTAAAATGTTGACTGTAGCTATGCTGGACTGCTTTCTCCTGTAAATTGCATTCTGTGGCAAAGCATTTCTATCAAAATATTTATTTAAATGATTTTTTCTTAGTGAATACTATGTGTAACTTTATTCATCTGAAAAGAGAGATGGTTAGAGGGTATTTCAGTATGATTTTCAGAAATTTAACTCCCCACTGTCACCGAACAACCAGAACTCTGAAGACAATGAAGATTCTATCTCCAGATGTGGGATCCAACTGTTGCTCAAGATGTGGAATCTAACTTTATTGTTTTCTATTACTTAAAATTTACAAAAGGATACTACCAAGGATATCATGCATTATTTGCTAGTCCATACTTGTTAAAAGTTGTAATATAATACGCATATTTATTCATGCCTAAACAATATAAGTATCTTGTTATATTAATTTTTAAAATGACTGGATATAAAGTTCATCAAAACTCAGCTATCCAGTGTCCCTGTAGAATAAGTGTCCAAAATGGGATTCCAATCAGGGAGAGGAGAGTTCTCCTCTAGGCATTGCTATTACAGCTCTTATACAAACTTCCTTTATAGGTTAACTCCAGTTAATAGGAAGTAAAAACATGATGTTGAATTTCTTCATTGTGCTTTTCTTTATTTTCCAAGATTTTTAGTATAAAATGCTTTAAAACACCTCTAATTCTGATTTAATGTATGAAATAGGGTTTAGCCAGTGTTCTGCACATATTCTTCTTTCAATAAACCATGAATGAGTTTGAGTCCTGTGTACCATGGTGAGATTGGCACCTCCCTAGACTTGGACTGAATTTGTAATAAGCATATGACCTTCAGGGCTCATATTGAAATTTAGATCGCAAAACCTCCTAAGATTTTTCAAATGAAGTATTATTGATTATCAGATTAAGGATTCCCCATCCTCCATTTATGTAACTGATTTTCCCATAAACCTAGATATAGAACTTTATTTTATCTTTGGTTCATTTGATCCTGTTTCTTTTAGACCATGTTTGTAATCTGCCAATCTTTCAAAGTATTGCTTACATAATACAAGTCTTTTGTAATTTCCCTTTGCTAGTACAATATCTGGAGAAGCTTCTAATCTCTTGCATCAGTACAAGAGGTGGGAGTACTGGATCCACCCGCGTTATTCAGATAGGAATGCTATTCAGAGTGGCCAGAGGCAACTAATATCTACGGGCAAAGAGGATTAATATAAATGACTTCTGTGCCTCAGATATCTAGTGGTTTCCAATGTGGAGTGAACTCCAAGTTTCTCAGTCTGCCTTTAAGTTTCTTCACAGTGTGTTCCTACCTTTCCTTTTGGTTCTTATTTTAATTTCTTGTCCACCACAAACCTTGTATTGGTGAATTTTAGATTGTGATGAACAAATTTTACTTGCGATTAATAAGCCAATATATTTCACTATTTGTTAACATATCACATTGACCAGGATGAGGAAACAAACATTTTTCTTGATAAAGAGCATTTTTAAAATAACAATTGTTCTGCACCTCTGTAAATCCTATTTCCCTTCATTAAAAATGCTTACAGTTATGAACAAGACTGAGAAATATCAGATCAAAGGAGATTAAAGAGACAAGATACCTTCATGGAGTATGGTATATTGAATTGGATCCTGGAACATAAAGTAATACTAATGGAAAAGATAATAAAATCTGAATAAAATGGCAAAATCTGAATAGTTAATAGTGATATATCAATTTTAATTTCTTAGTTTTGACAAGTGTATATGCTAATGAAGGATGAATACATTAAGGGAAACAAACTGAGAAATAGGTGTGTGAGAAACTCTCTTTAGCATGTTTATAATTTTTCTGTAAGCCAAATTTATTCTAAAATTTAAAAGTTTATTTCAAAAAGAAACACATTATTAGTTTTTTATACCAAATAATTTTGTAGAAGTTTGATTTATTTCATTGGCTTTCATAAAATAAAGATACACTGTCCTTTCCTTTATAATTACAATAATATGTACAGCTACCACTTGATTTTTGAATTTTTACCTGGATTTTTTATTATCATGACATTCATGCCTTGCTGTTTTAATATAGCTAATGGATAAGAGAGAGATGAAATAAAGCATAATTGACACACAGCTACTGCTTTATATATTTAGCAACTCTAATATATTATACCAGCTCTTTAGAATATCACCATTTGGTGCCAACAAGAATGACTAGACAGCGCCATGTCTTCCATAGAGAAGACACCCTATAGGGCAGGTGTCTTCATTTTCTCTTAGAAGCACTCCTCAGAGCAAGATTGCCTTGTCTGATTTTCATGTTTCATAGTCACACTTCATGAAGACCAATGGTCCTGGCCTTCCCAGAATTAATGACAATACACAATATGCCTTTCAACAAAGATTTTGGTTGGTTGGAGTGGGGAAAGAACTAGGTCCACTCTTCTCCAAATATCAGTCACATATAGGCCTTCAGATCCTCAAGGACTGGAGAAAGTTTTCTAAGACTTCTCATTTTTTTAGTCTCTTGCTTCAGCTCCCTGTAGCTAACTTTGGCTACTCACCAAGATGCAAGTGCATCTCCTGGGCCTTTGTTCTTGCAAAATTTCTAGCAGTTGACCCTAGATTTTATGGATACTTGAGGCACAATTACTAGCAGAGACACAGATAAACAGGCTGTGGATGATTTGATGGACAGAAGGGTCTGTCAGTTCACCCTCTTCTTAGCATGCCGGGCACACTTTACAACTGTTAATGCCTGAGTGCTTCCTGGAGTCCAAAGCAGTGGTGGGGCCTCTTGTCACTGAAGAGAAATTATTATCCTATAGCTTCACTGTTTGCTGTCATTACTCTATGTTTCTTCCTGTTCTAGTTTAACACCGAAAGCCCTCTTATCTAATTTCTACTACTCAAATACTGGCTGTAGTTCATATTCCAGCAGTATTAGAACTGTTTTCAAAGAATTTTTTTATGTTTATTATTATGTATAATTTGCCCATAGTTCTCTTTTTTCCAACTTTTTAGAGATATAGTTCACAAATACAATTAGGATGTATTTAAGGTATACAATGTAATGATTTGGTATACGTGTACCCTGTGAAATGATGACTACATGTAAGCTAATTAACATATCAAAATAACGATCACCTTGCATACTTAGCTTCTGTGTGTGTATTTTGTGAGAATATGTGACATCTACTTCAGTAGCAAATTTCAAGTATACATTTGTATTAACTGTAGTCACCATGCTATTACATTGGAACCTCAGAAATTATTCATCTTAAAAATGAAAATTTGTATCTGTTGACAAATATTTTCCATTTTCTCCCACAGCCACCCCAAACTCTTGGCAAACACCATTCTACGCTCTATTACTGAGTTAGACTCTTTCTAGCTTCCAATTTAAGCAAAATTAGGCAGCATTTCCGTGTCTGGCTTATTCCACATAGCATAATGTCCTCCAGGTTGATCTATGTCATTGAAAATGACAGAATGTCCTTCCCTTTTAAGGATAAATAATATTCTATTTTATAGACATTTTCTTTATCCATTCATCTGCTGTTAAACAACCCTTAAGTTGTTTCCA